CGCTCCTATCGGTTGGAGTGAAAGGAAATAAGGGTAAAACGGAGGAATACACAAAAGAAAACTTTGCTGCGGTCAGTACGCGACAAACTTCGTCGCTTATTAATATTCCATGCCGGCCCATGAAGACGCTTATCTCCTAGTCCTTGCTGAGGCCGTCGTCGTTCATGAAGCAGAATGTCGAATCGTCTATCTGCTCAGCCAATAGGATTCCCCCACGATCATATGCCAGGCCTGAGTGTCAAAGGGCATTGTGCGCATTGAAGTCACCTACTTCCATTCGGTTTTCACCTCTGAGTAGCGAACCTATGACAGCATGATATCCTGCGGAGCAGCAGATGACGGGAATATATATTGGGGTGATTCAGAAAAACAAAATGTTTTCTTCGCAACCATCCACAAAAGTTTCGTTTAGACACCAAAATAAGCCTCAGAAAATATTAGCCCTTAATATCAATATTAAGAGTGTCCGCATCGCACTTTTCGATTTCCCATAAGAATACCACTGGAAAATTTTTTTTTTTTTACTTTTGACTTTTATATTTAACGAACGATACGTTCTGTAAAGATCTTGACTGCGAATAACTTTTGACCGAGTTGACGTATCGAAAAATAACTTCAGTTCTTTTTTGTAGAGCGCTCAATTCTCTACAAAAATACTTCAAGTTCTTTACAGTACAACGTATCGTTCGTTAAAAACAAGTAAAAGAAAACACTTCGATCTTCAATAAGAATAACACAGGAAAAATAATTTTTTTTTTACAATTCTTTCGAATTTCACCCCGAATATCTTTTGGCCGAGTTGATTTAAAAATGACTTCAGACCTTAATTGTATTCTCTACAAAAATACTCGAAAACCTTTACAGTACAACGTATCGTACGTTAAATATAAAAGTCAGAAGTAAAAAAAATACTTCCTGTGTTCTTATATGAAATCGAAAACTGCGATGCGGGCATTCGTAATATTAATATTAAGAGCTCATATTTTCTGAGACTTATTTTGGCGTCTAACTAAACTTTTGAGCATGGTTCCGAGAAAAAAATTTTTTTCTGTATCACACTAATATATATACTTTAAATATTTGGAGCTCGATATCGCCTGACCGGTCAGCTATGTTCTGACGTTCTAGGGTGGTGTCCCTCGGATCTACGTCTTCTTCGATTAGACGATACTGTACAGTGTAGTGTAGGATGAACGCTAGCCCTCCACCATTTTCGCGCACACAATCTTTACGGAGCACATGTAGGCGGCACAACTCAATAATGTCGAGTTGTCGTGCAACTTCGTCTCTTGGTTCGCAGCTATCAATATGCCGTGTCGACCCATTAAGATTGCTATCTATCCAATCTTGCTCTGGAGTCCGTTACAGTTTAGTTGTAGAAGTTTCGTATGCCTTGGGAGGCTGGTCGCGATACCCAGGGTAAGAGAAGTGTGCAGTCTTCCTTGGGATTGTCGTGCCAGCCGCAGTTGCTTTTGCTTCCTGGTGGTGGGTGGCTGCAGTGTTTGTGTTGTTGACTGCGGCGGCGGTGGTCTGCAACTAGGTGGCGCGGTAGCTTGTCCAATCGTGCGTGATGCGCAGGTCAGAGCATAGGCGGAAGTGGCACCAGCCAAGGAAAGAGTTGTATTTGACTGATGCCACTTTCCGATATACTCTGTTCTGACAGACGGAGCAGATCGTGTGAGCAAGCAAGAGGTGCTGGTTGGCTCGCAGACGCGAGTTGGAGCGGGTGTTAGAGTGGTGTGAGGGTGTGGGGAGGTTTTCTTTTGCTCACGGGAGCTGTGTGGAGCCGTGGAGGCTCTTTGGGTGCTGATTCGCACCTGCACGTTCCGCGTTTGGCTTAAGCAACAGGGAGCCACAAAGCTTGTGGTCCACTCCCTATGAGTCCTATGGCCCCAGCAGGTTGGTGACTCCATCCGTTGCAAGAGTTGGACCTAACCGGAGTGGAGCTCCGATGGAGTCGTCTCTAGCAAACGCAGCAGATATATGATTCTGGCTCGGGGCTAGACTCAATGTTCGCCCGGAGAAGAAGGATTCTTAGCAATCCAACTGCAAGGTATTGCTCTACGGACGAAAAACTATTGATCTGTACGGGGCTAGGTCGTCGAAACAACTGCCCTTGATCTGGTAAAACCCGAGTCATTTCGGTTACTGTCGTAAAAATTAGACCCAATCCGTTGTTCTTCTTTTACAATTGACAAGTTTTTTAGCTTTTTTCCTAAGCTTCCCGATATTATCGTTGCACCAAGGGACGTGCGTTTGAGATTTATTTCTTCTCAGTGGCCAGCTAGTGTTGGATCGTCTTGGTATTTTCTCGCATCGTCTTCCAGTAAAAACACGGATGTATATGGCGCCGTTAAAGTATTCATTTCCCGCTTTATACAGAGGTGGAAAAGTTTTCATTTTGTTTTTCTGGGTTTCTATTAACCTGGTTCGCTACCCTTGGGACTATTTATCGAATCTAATATGCCGATGGTCCGATATTCGCATCTCATTTGAGACATGCCAGTCTGCGGTAAAGGTCCACAGGCTAGTTGCAGAAATTGAAAAGTCTAGAAACTTCCATTTTGTAGCATTAACAACCTCCCCTTGCCGACCTTGTCTCCGACACGTATATAACGACTACCTACAAGGCGAATTTATACCTGGTGATAGCAACATTACAAAAAGAACGTACCTGTATTTGGCTCCTGTTTTTAGGGTCAAGCCGTCAATGTTTACATGTTTTTGTTGTTGGCTTTTACGGTGTGCTGTTAAATCAGTAAAAGCAAAAGGCGAATGAAAAAACAAGAAATCAGCTTGCCTATTAACACCACCAAATTCCGATTAACCAAAAAAAATTCTTAGGATCTACCTCCAATTAGTGCAAATATTTTTTTCTTGATGGTTATGTACACTAAAAAACTATTGTTATACCTGTTTTTGTATTAATTGCGCTGAATTTGTACGATCCACTAGCAGTTATATTTCCTGATCTGAATTTTGAGTTAGCTCAGCGTTGCGGCATTTTTTAACAAAATTTAAATAAAACAATTTAATTTATTTGAATTATGTGAAATAACATTAACCAAAAAATTAAATATATAATTAAAAAATAAATATTATGTGTAAGAATTCCTCGGAGTGCGGATCGAACCTGGGTCCTACTCAGTTGTACACAATTTTGACCACTGGGCTACCGTGGACGACAAACTCGTTTGCTTTACTTGCTTACTTGTTTTCCAAGAGAACGTAGAATGCAAAGAACATGCAAAACTAGCCTGGAAATTTTGATGTTGTTGTAGCTCAACTAACGGTAGGCCCAGGAAACGTGTCATTTAGATGAGATTTGACCATAGGAAAGTGTTTTTAGCTGAGTAGGCTTGTAAAGAGGTGGTTGGTGTTATTATGAGTATTTCCTCATGCTGGACACTCATTGGGTATATCGGGAACGAGTCTGGTTAAATAACTATTGAGACGGCTACAGCATCCAGACCGGTACGAGTAACGGGTCTCCCGCGGCATTTACAGTTCGAGAGTCGCAGAAGGTGGAGAAAGATTATCTATGAATGCCGTTTATAGCTCGTGTGTAGGTCGTCAGGTCCAGTGGTTCTGTATAAGTCTGGATCGTGTTCTTATGCACGCAAAATTCCTTGTGACGTGCATGGGTGGAAGCTCTTTCTCAAGCAAGGTCATGCTCGAGTGCTCGCGTCGGTAGCACGCTACCAGAAACTGCTTGCTGAACGCTTTGTTGTGCTCCCTTAAGGGCCCGGTTATGCAGATGGTGTTCAGGCGACATTATTTCGCTATCAAAGGTAACCTCTAGAATTTTTTGTTTGTTCACCGCCGGAATTGGTGTGTCATCGTCAATGCCCTCCCTCAGAAGAAGGATGCGAACCATCCCGGCTGCGAGGTGTTACTGCATAAAAACGATTGATGGGGTTCGACGATCCAAACGGGTTAGGTCGCTGAAACAAAACCCGAGTTATTTCGGTGTGCAGAACCGGATATCGTGGGAATGCTGGACATCTACCTCGTCGGCGATAGTGCATTCACCGAACTTATTCAAATAAGTTCTTATTCACTTTTAGTAGGACTATCCTAAATGAGTATGATTAATGTACTATCGCCGATGACGTTCTCTGTGTTTTGGTTAGTGTTGTTATTGAAAATGCCTTTTATCCGCATTTAGTTGTAGAATTAGCCCTAGGACTTAATCCGGATCAGTTGCATTTAATGAGACAATTCCGAAATAACGAATTGATCTGGATCAACGCTGCCGTCTGTCTATGCTTTTACATCCTGCCACGCCATTAGCAGTTGGGCCCTAATCTAAATAATGGTCCAAAATTTCTCATTATTTTCTTGATCAAGAAAATTTCTCTTTTCCCATGACAGTCAAAAAAAAGATATAACAATTTTTTAAGTAAGTAATACCAGCGAAAGCGTAAACACAAAACAGAGTGGAAGAGAAATTATAAGATAAAGTTATGGAACGTAAAACCAATACAATCTTGCATTTCACGCCATTTTGACACTTTGAGGTTTTAAGTTGTGGTGCACAATTTTCCTTTTGCTCTTGCAAAAAATCTACGTTACTCATCTATATTTTCATTTCACTAACTTTATTTTGAGCAAGTACACATCAAGGCTTCTTAAACGTTTGTTTACTTTTGATTTTGATACATGGCGGTTTTTCGACACCTGCATATAACTGATAGTAGTATGTTTACTTGTTATAATTTGCTCACTCGTGTTGTTACTTTCTCGTGGTTGCTTTAATTTGCAAGTTTGTGGGTTATTGAACGCAAAACCAATCAAAAATTGCGAGTATTTACCAGTAAAAACCATTTGTTGTCAAACGCAGCCATTATCTTTTTTTATACAAAAAACTTACTAAAATATACTGTTTTGTGTACCTATAATTTCAGCGTGTGCTTTTAACAAAGAAGTCCTGCCGCAAACTGCTGAATTACCATCACCTTCCTAAGTACCGAAAAAAAACCAAATCGTAAACATATCTGCACCTACTACTTAACAAACGACTTTCGGAAATTAGGCAAAAAATGGCATTTCTCCGCTGTTTTTCTTGCCTGGCGAATCAAAATGATGATATTATTTTAGAACTAGATTTTAGCAATAATATACTGAGTGATGCTTTCCCAAATGTATGGCAGCATGAGCGTACATTAGAAGAACTCTATTTAAATTCGGCACGCGTAAGTAGCATTTAAACTAGACTGTTAATAACAATGTTTTAAAACGCGTTCCGTACAGATCACAAGTCTTCCGCCAGAGCTATTTTACTGTCAGAATTTACGTGTTTTGGTGGTAAGCAACAATAATTTAGAATCAGTTCCGAATGCCGTTGCTGCTTTACGGCAGCTGCAAACATTGAATTTAAGTCGAAATTGTAAGTATGGCCGAACCGATTAAAACTCATTTTTAAAATGTACGCATTACAGTCATTTCAAATGTTCCTGAAAGTATGAAAGCGTGTAAAAATTTAACCCATTTAGACTTGAGCTGCAATAGCCTCAACCGCCTACCTGATGCCTTAACGAGCCTTATTACACTCAAAGAATTATTTTTAAATGAGACATACCTGGAATTCTTGCCTGCAAACTTTGGTCGTTTAATACATTTGAAAGTTCTGGAGCTGCGCTTAAATAACTTAATAACATTACCAAAATCTATCGCTCGACTAACAAGTCTTTTGCGGCTAGATATAGGATATAACGAGTTTACTGAACTAGTAAGTTTTTGTATCCTTTCACCTTTCATTAAAATGAGGTAGGTGGAAATCCGGAGACCGTTCCGCGTATGTAGTATTTTATAAAAAAAATAGCAAACAATTGTAATAAACTTATGAAATTTATTATTATAAGCAAGAAATATAGTTTGCTAGATCGCCCTCTCCCGATTTGCTGAGTGTATGAAATTTCTGCGTACTACATTAGGTGTAATTTATTTCTATAAAACTCAAAATCCTTAAACTATGCCAAAATGGGTGATTTTAAATTGTTTTTACCATCTTCAAAATATTTTTAAGCTAAAACTAAACTGTTTCGATTGATACCCATATAGTAATAATTCATTAAAATTACTGAATAGTTGGAATTTACAGACAACTCTATATGTTCACGCTGAACGTTTCTTTACACTCTTACTTTTGACAGTCAAACTTGAGTAAAATTAATTTAAATTTGACTTTTAGGACAACTGCCAACTCTATTGAAAATATTGTCAAACTACAGCTTTATTCAGCCACCTGACATTCATTTTTTAATATAATTTTCAAATAAATAAAAGGTGGCAGCACTCCTTCATGAGTATGGAATTGATTTTCCAACTAAAACCTTATGAAACCCCTTTCGTCAGGCACCCATATTGTGATACATATTCCAATTACCTAATTCCATTAAAAGTGTTTTTCTAATAGCTGCCGCCCCTCTGCAGGCAATGGCGAACCTACGAATGTATTTCTGCCATGAAAAACAGCTCATACAAATACAATCGCCATTCGTAGTCGGCGATTCCCCTTTGTGGTCACCATCAAGGCACACTCCACAAACCGCAGGGGAAGTTCGGCCAAACACTAACATATGTGCGCCAATCTATAATTCATTCTCTTAATTCAAGTAGAATTTGGGGTTTCAAATTTTAAACAAACATTTAGCTTAGAACTAAAGCTCTTTTTAAAAACATTTGATGCCCATATTGTGGTAGTTCGTTTAAATTAATTGTATTTAATTTTTAAACGGGTTGCAGCCCTTGTAAAATAAGTCAATAATATTCTGAATGTTCAATCTGAGGGTTTCTTAACAATCTTTCGTGTGACACCCATATGTTAATTTTTCAGATAGCTTGCGAATAAATAGGGCTATTCGCGATTCGGTGCATAAGAACTGACAAATTTATGCAATTGCAGAAATATGCCATGGATTGTGAGCGACCTTTATTAAACTGTCATGGCAAAGCTTTTGCAAAACAATTTTTGTGCATCAGCTTTGGTTTTGTTTATGAATGCAATGCATAGCATTTTTATGCTATGGATTTTCGGTATTGCAAATTTGCCAAGCCATGACAAATGCAAATGCGTGTATTTTGTTTGTGTATTGCAAATAATTTGCAATACAAATTTGCAATGCAATGACGCTAGGCCATTTGCACCGGATCGCGAATAGCCCTATTAATTTAAATTTGACTTTGCAAACGGGTGGCAACCTTTTTCAAAAAATAATTCCCTTAATTTAAGTTGAGGGTGGTGTCATCTCTTTCATGAGTATGGAAATGATTTTATATAGTTCCAGTACTCTATCACAAATATCGTCTAATCGAGTTTAAATCTATCCTATAGACTGGTTTTCACTATGTCATATTTTACGCCAAAATTTGGCGACTTATTTTGACACAACCTTATCTCCTTTATCTATACCTTTACCGATGATATTATGGGCCAAAACAGACAGATAGCCGATTTAGCAGCGCATGTACACGAATAAAGACCTACCCTGATTCAAATCAGTCGATAAACCGCTTTTTAATCCCAGTTGACAATGTGTGAACCTTACATAGTGAAAACCAGCCTTTTGTTTTAAGTTGGGCTAAATTACACCAGTGTACTAAATTTCAAGACGATCGGTTGAGTAGTTAATGCGTGAAAGCGTAACAATCAAACAAGCTCTATTTCGGATTTATAATATTAGTAAGGATTTTTGCTGTTTATAGGGGTAATAGCCCATAAGAAACAAAGCGGATATAAACAAAGATTTGGAAATACTTGCCAGAAATCATAACTATACAATTTATTTGAATTTTTACAGTGTTACTATTAAGTAAGCTATGTCGTATTGGATACGTTAGCCTTTTGCTTAAGCTTTATAGTAGTGTTTCCTTGGGCTATCAGCTCAGTATCACGATCATTTTTCACGGAAACGATCTGGATCATTCTTATTAGGGTTCGCAGCACTAATTTTATACCACTAGCACGAGAAAAATGAAATTATAAAAATTAACTCATTAAATGGAAAAATGTATATTTAAACGAAATAATATTCCCTCTTTGGTTATAATCTATTGGCCTTATTCATAAAAAAATTAAGTAGATTTATAAAAGGTTTATAAATTGAAAAATGTATGAAAACGTCAATTTATAAAGCTCTTTAAACCTACTTTATTTTTTATGAATAAGGCCATATCAATATACATACTTATTTCTAAAAGGTATTTTTCTGTTACCAAACGATATCTCCTTTAATATTTTATCAAATTTAATAAATTATATCTTATTTTAAAGGGGAGAAGCTCATGCACATGCGAAAAATAGTCACGTTTTTTTCAATTTAGATACTTATTTAAAAAAGGGGGTTTTAAAGAGCTGAAAGCACTGTATCCGGTCAATAATGCGTCATATCTTTCTTAATACTCCATCAAATTTACTGAACTAAACACCATTCTGAGGGATAGGTTAAGGTAAAAAATAAAAAGCTTTAGGATTGCCACCTGCTTAAAATTTTAGTGACTTAAATATATATATATATATCTTGAGTAAAATATTGTAAAGCATTCAGCGAATGAAACACATTTAAATGCCCTCTTAGAGGTCTATTCTGCACGTTGCCGAAGTTCTTGTCACCGCGATTCTAGGTACGTTGGTAATGCAGTTAAAATATTCAGCAATTCAGCTATGAAGATGGTAACAAAATTTAACGGTTTCAAGAGTACACAGAATGCGAAAAGAATTTAAAAATTGAAAGGAACTTTATTTACCGGTTACAAACTTGTTATTACCAGCGCAGAATAGACATGTTAACCAGAAGTAATAATTTTGAAGGGGGTTGCCAACTATTTAACAATCTATATGCATACTTATTTCTTTTTGGCGAAGTTAGCCTTAATGTTCCCTCCCGGGTATCAATACACTTTTTCCACCTATTTCTGAAAGCTTGTAAAACTAATTTTGAATTGCACGACCCACTCCGTTGCTTATGCCAGGATTTTAACTCTCATTCCAGCAAGTTTGATATATCAGATCCGCTTTTCAGCATTAAGAAATCGATACTGTCCTCTCTCAATAAATGAATCATTAAAATAAAGACATAAAATCGGCTGATGAATTTAGTTCTGTAGCTGAACAGTTTTAGATCTCGACACTTAACAAACTCCTGCCTATCGTGACTCGGCGCAAAAATTGAAAATACTGGTTCCGTACGTCATGCGGACTGCGCCCCTCGTGCGGATGGGCGGGAATGGAGGGTAAAAACCGTTGGGATATTATTATTATTATTATTATAAGAGATATTTTTGTGTTACGACGTGATATCTCTTAATATTTTATCAAATTCTGATTCAACAGGGGAAGCACACGTACGAGCGAAAGATAGCCACGTTGTTTAAAAAGCTAAAAGCACTGCATCCGGTCAATCTATTACCACATCTTTCATAATACTTCATAAAATTTAATGATTGAAACATCAACGGTTTAGATAAAAATTACAAAGTTTTGAATAGTGTTACTCCTGTCTAAGTTACTTAAATATGTAAAATATTGCAAATCATTCAGCGAATGAAACACAAAGTAATAATTATAAAGAGATTTGCCAACTATCTAAAAATTTTAATCTGTATGCAAAACCCAATGCGTAAATCTTTCATTCGGGCAAGCCAGGATTGAGTTATTCCGGGGTTGTAGTCAAATTACTACCGCTAAATCAACCACCAGAACCCCTGAGCTCATTGTTTTACGGCGAATTACCAGAATAAGTACAGTTCTTGATGAATGTCCATAAATGCAATGATTAGACAGCTAAAGGATTTCATCTCAAATAAGTCTATATGTACTGGATTTATGTGGATCAAATGCAGATAAATGTGCCACTGGACGTCGTTAAGTGATTAGTTGGTGGGTGTGTTGTACCAAAATTTCCCCAAAAAAATTAATTTTGGGCGAGACGAGGTTCGGCGGGTCCGCTAGATATTTAACATAAAGGCGATTTGAATCAATTGGAGAGAATGAAATGGCAGAATATCTGTTTGTATATACATTCAATTGTCAGTGCTACCAAACCGTGCTGCAAGTTACCAGTGAAACAAAACAAACAGAGTGGATCATAAATTGAACCAGATCTCTGTCAAGATCATATCGTTGTTGCATTTGCGTGCAAACTTTTTATCCGTATCCCGACCACTGCCAAAGAAAACACAGCTATTTTTGCGATAAATAGGACTAAAATGTACACCCCTATTAGCGTAGGCCGAAAATCCGCTTTTTTAGAATTTTTTTTTGATAATAGCAAAATTATGGTTTATTATGCTCTAAAAACAATCTGTGTGAAAGATGACAATTTTTAGTCAATATCTTAGGCTCACCCAAGTCCTTCAAAGGTCAAGTGCTAACAATTTTTTTTCTTAGCTAACTTCGATTCTCTACAATAAAGATCCATATACCAAATGATGTTGGACTAATACCTTCAAAGATAGTTAAAATTTTAGTAAAAGCAAATTATTACTTATTGTATTTATTAATTTTAATTTTCTCACACAAATTGTTTTTAGAGCATAATGAACCATATTTTTGCTATTACCAAACAAAGTTCTAAAAAACGGATATTCGGCCCACGCTAACCCTTATGCTGTAATCCAAATTTTCATAGTTACGAATTCGTAGCTTCGCTTTGAAAAGTATAAAAATGGTATGCTGTAATCCGTTCTTAACTATCCACCACGTTGCCCACCAAAAAAGGGAAATTTGAA